CAAATTTTTTTTTATTTTATATATTTTAATTGATTATTTTATTCATTTTATTATTTTCTTTAATCTTTCTATATTATATTTCAATGAAATTTTAAAGTATAAAAATAAAACCTATAAATATACATATAACTATAGATAGTATCCTCTAGAAATTAAATCTGTTAAATTTTGTTTACGTTTTCCTCTAACCTTCAAAATGTATAAAAACAACGAATAATTATTTTATTTATTTTTTCTTACAACAGTGTTATTTATTTATAAATATGAAAATTTGTAATATTAATAATATTATATGATATTAATAATATATTTTATATTCTTAATTAATTAACAGTTATAAAATCACAACCAGAAATAATGTATGTATGTATGTATCATTAAACTTACAAATATAATAATGGCATTTTCATTTCGTATTGGTACCAAATGGTGCCATGATTTTCCAAAATTGGCAAAGGAATCTGGATTTTATTTTAATATGCATAGATCCAGAATAAGAGTAGATTGGAATCGTATAAGTATGTATGTAAATGGTTTTAGTAGCATTATTTAATTTATTTATAATTCTATATTATTTTAGGTAATATAGATATAGATCGAATTATAAAAGAAAGAGATTTTCATTCTATTGATGAAAATATAAATAATGTAATAGATTATTGTTTAGAAAGTGAATATGATGTTAAAATCTTGGATCCAAATTTTGTAAAACTCTTTTGTCTTGCACAGTTAGCAGTTGAATATTTATTATATTGTAAACAATATTTAGATCATAGTGTAATGATATTAAAAGATGAACTAAAATTAAAAATTGAAGAAAATGTTAAATTAAAAAAAGAAATAGCTACTTTAGAAGAAATAGTGAAACATATGAAAGAAAAAGTAAAAGAAAAAAGTAAATTAATAGAAACTAAAATTGGAGATACTAATGGTGAAATATATAAAGTAAGAAAATTGTAAATATATTTTAATTATTTTAATTAAAGTTTTTCTTTAAAAATATAATGTAAATAAAATAGATATACTTATTAAAAAAACTGTATAATAAATATATTTTAAATATATTTTTCTTAAAAGAAAAGCTTTAATTATATATGTAAAAATATTATCTATTATCTTATTTTTTTAAGCAAAATTATTAATATTCTTTTAGTGTCCACATTGTCCAAAATCTTTCATATCTTCTATGTTTGTTAGTGCACATATTATACGTCGTCATACATATACATCAGATTTATATATGTCTGTTTCTCCTATACATGAGCATTATCGCAATGAAACTGAAAAGTTGCATAATGAAATAAAAAACTTAAAAGAAAGATTAAATGAAACAGAAAAAGTAATAAGAAATGAATCTGAAAGAATCTGTGATAAAAAGATATTAAATTATAATAAAAAACAAACTGAAAATGAAATTGAAAATCTTAAGTATGATAATAACAAATCTAAAGAACATTCAGAATATAAAGAATATCAAGAAGAAATAAAAAATTTAAAAATCATGCTCTTTGATGAAATACATGTATGTATAAATTTGGAAACTTTTAAAATATTTTAAGTAATAATATATAATAATAATAAATAAATATTTTAACAGAATTTAAGACAAAAAGAGAACATTATGTATGAACGTACATCTGAAACAAATGTCCAAGCATTAATAAGTCAACAAGAAAAAGAATTTCAAAAATTAAAAAATCAATTACTTGACAAAGTAAGTAAAAAATTTTTTCGTATAATGAATATGATTATACAACAATATGGATGACAATTTTTTTTGTCTTTATTTTATAGTTTACTCCAGACATAGAAAGCATGCATACAAAGTTATATGATCAAGAAAATTATTGGAAATCAAAAATAGAACAATTAGAAAATCAACATCATAAAGATATTGAGAGACTTACTACAGAATTGAAATTGACACAAAATGCAGCTGATGATATGAAAGCTAAATATGAAGCAAAAGTTAATGATTTAGAACGTCAAACGGCAAATCAATCAAATATTTTAATTGAACAAAGTAAACAATTAAGTTCCTTATCGCACGAAATAAATATTTCACAATTAAATGTAAGAAATAAAGATTCGAAAAATAATTCTTTACAAAAATGTAGTCCATCTATAATATTAGATAATGAAATTTCAAAAAAATCTGATGAAAATAATTTAAAACAAAGTTGTGTGGATACAACAATTGAACAAATTGTTACTGAAAATAATGCAATAGGCACTACAATTACTTCAAATTTATCAAGTAAAGTATTTCCATTAACAATAGAAGATTCTTTAAAAGATACACAAATTTTAAATTCTAAAAATAAATTCATTATTCATGAAAATAAGAGAAATATTAAACAAAAATATGAAAAAATTCCAGATATCGAAAATTTCGATCATATAAAAATTATCAAAAAAGATTTAGAATATTATAGTTCAAGTAATATTTCAGATTTAGAAGATTCAATACTTGAAGAAGAAAATAATTCTAAACATAAAAAATATGATCAATCAATTATAAAAATGGATTTACATAAATCTGATATAAGTAAGCTAGAAAATGTTATTAATAAAAATATATCTAATGACTTTTTATCTGACATTAAAAATATCAAAACATTGAAGTCTATAGAAGAGAATTTATCTTCTGTAACAAATTCAGAATCATTTATTTCTAATTCAAGTATAGATAATGATACTACAATTCACAATGATTCCTCATTGCATAAATATAAAATACCATTTTCTTTAAAATCTAAAAAAATAACAGAACACAATTATAAGAATTTGCAGGCTAATTTAATGGATGTTTTTGAGCAAAAATTAAAAGATTTAGGAATAGATCCAGAATGGCAAGGAATACCAAAAACAACTTTTAAACAAAAAATGGATATTTTAAAACATCATCATAAACTAGCTATAAAAGTAAGAAAAATATGTAAAATATCATTATAATATTTATAATTTTTATAACTTATTAATATTTTCTTAAATTTATTTATTTATTCAGAAATTACCAAAATATCATCAAATTAAGTTAAAAATAATCGAAGAAGTTCTCAATAAAATATCTAGAAAAGAAAAAATTATAGAAAATATGAAACTATTTAAAAATAATAAAAAATCATCTTTACATAGACCAATAATAAAAGAATTAAGCAATCAAAATCCTGGTAATTATAATTTTCTTTTTCATATGTAAATTTAATTTTTTTTTTTAGAAAAAAAAACATCTTTTTTAGATTCTCATATTTCTACATTACAAGCAATAACATTAAAGGAATATTATTCTACACCAGAAACTAAAGATTCTATTAAAAATATAACTGAAAATGAATCACTATCTATAAAAACACAAACTGCAAATTACAAAACTGTAGAAGAATTAATAGATATTTCTTCTAATTCAATAAAATCTTTGGAAAGTATACAAGATACTACAAATTTACAAGAGTTTTTAATAAAAAAAGATTTTTTGAATGAAATGAAACCTGTATTCAATTCTGAAACATTCAAAGTAATATCAAATAATAAAACTATATCAAATTACAAATCTACTGAAAACAATGATATAAATAATTCAAATATACAACAAGAATTACAAAATATTTTTATATCACCTAAACATAATAAAAGTGTTCTAAAATCTACAACTGGTTCAACAAATAGTTTGATAAAAAAAAAAGTTATTTTTGATCTAACAAATAAAAAGGATAAAGAATCATATTCTGATGATGATAAAGAAAAAAAAGAATTATATGAGAATACTTTAAGGTATGTAAAAATAAATAATATTTTTTTATAAATAAAAAATATTTTATTTTAATTTATACTTAATTTTATATTTATTTAGTAATTCTGATGAACGAAAATATTTATCTCAATTAGAAGATTATAAAAATTCAAGTAATATCATACTAAAAACTGCACAAAGTGATAAAATAGCAGAATTATCAAAAAAACTTGAAATACAGGTAAAATGTTAAAAAATTATTTATTTTTTAATACTAACAATTATAAATATATTATTTCAGTTAAATATGGTGAGACAAAAACCTATAGGATCTGTTGAAACAATATTTTCTTCAAAGTGTATACAAAATAAAAAAAATCAAAATAAGAGCATTGAACAAATCAATCCTACTAGTATAAGTTCTTTTGTAATAAATCCAGGTCAAATGTCTTTAGCATATACTAAAAAACCAAATGATTTATCACAACCAGCATCATATAATTTAACAGATAAAATGTCTGAAATTTTACATACAGAATCTGTATCAGAAATATCAGATTTAGATTCTGACATAGATAAAATTTTAAAATTAGAATAAGATTTAGATAAGATTAAGATTAAGATTTATATAACGTACGATATTGAGACATTTTCTTGTAAAAAAAAAATATAGAATAAAATTTTTTTATTCAAGGCTTAGTTTTCAAAGTAA